GCCCCCCGCCGCGGCCAGACCGCCCGCAGCGAGCATGCCCAGTGCGAGCTGAGCGCCGGCGCCGGGGTCTGGCGCGGAGCAGCCGGGCGTGCTCGGGAGCGGCCCGCAGGTGACCTGCAGCGTGGCGATCGGCGCAGCCCCCGACGCCAGGGACAGCTCTGTCCAGGGTGGTGACGGGTTGGGAAGGGCAGCTGCGAGTTGGGGGTGCTCGTTTACTACGACCCAAACCAGATTCCACGCGCTCAAGATTTCATCAGAAGCAGGATGGAAAAGTGCCCAGCGAAGAAGCTGGGTCCGAGCTTTTATTTCTTTTTCGTCCCCCTGACTCCCTCAGTTGGTCTTAGTTGAATCAAGGGTAATTTCGCAGAGATAAAAAGAGCCCGTCCTTCCCATCCCACAAAGCTGTAGCTGGGGTGGACCAGTGCGGTGACGCAGCACGTGGTACCGCGCTAGATCCTCAAAGGCTCTTCCGCACGTCCTACCTGGGTCCCTGCCCTGGAAGGACTCGCAGGCCCTGTGAGCTGGACTCACGCCAGGACGCTAGGTGAGACCTGAGCGTTCCTGCCTCCGCCATTCCTTGGGAAGAGGTCAGGGGAGAGAATTTGGGCCAGGGTCCTGCCCTGGTTCAGTGGGGGTCAGGATTCTCAGCACTGCAGAGGAGCTGCCTCGCTGGGGGCTCCAGAACCTCCTGCACCTGCACGGGGCATCCGGCTCCCCAGGGAAGGTCGGCGAAGTACAGACTTGACCAGTTTTGTGCCGTGCAACTACGGCTGGAATAGCATCTGCCCCTTCCACGCACTCACACCTCAGCTTGGTTCACCGCTACGGCTTTGGGATCTACAACCTGAATGAAACATGATAGTTTAGAAAGTTCATTGGCGATAGTAATATTGTTCCACGAATCTCATAGTTTAGACACACAAATGTACACACGCACGGCAATGTATATTTCTTTTCTTTCTTTTTTTGTAAGTTAGGGAAGGGTCTACAGGACCTCACACATGGATCAGACTCGTAGTGATTCTCCTGTTTTCAGCTTCCCAAGTGCTGGGATTACAGGTGCACGTCACCACTCCCAATCTCAATGGCCTTCTCAGCGCGCCCCAGGGACGGGGCCAGCACTGCATGTGGGGATCACACCCTGGCCACTGCACTCTGCTTAAATAGGCGCTTTAGTCCTCTGAGCTATCAGGCCGGCCCTAAAATAGTTCTGTAGAGTATGATTTAAGAGGCCTGAAAAACGACAAAACACAGATTCAATCTCGTGAATCTCACAGTATAATCAACCTCTTAAATGCTAAAGACAGAAAATCTGAGTTTACATTTAGTTGCTTATTCACGCAACAGACATTAATCATTAGCTTTTCCCTTTGTTCCGGGTTCTGATTAGAGAGGTAGAAATGAATGGGATACGAGTAGGGGCCAGTTGAAACACATACTAGAATTTTTAAAAAGTAGTTAAAATACTCATTAAATTCGCACTAAATTTTGATATGGGAGAGTGAAGAGTGTTTTGTGTTATTAGGAAAAAAAAAAACCCAAATCTGAAATTTTCAGTCTCAATAGTTTATCTCATATATTAAATTTATAGCATTTATTTAAAGTACTATTGTGCCAAGTACCAATAGTGCACACTCACAAGGCATTGCTAATTCATGACAATACATGTTATAGCTGAGAACAGTGAAAGGCATAATAATCAACATGTTCTTAATCTTTATCATCAGTGAATTACCACATTCAAGAATAAAGCACAAACTGAGGCATTTGATCCCAATTTATATATTTTTAATCTTTTAATCATTTATTTGGTGTAGGATCTCACCATGTAGCTTGGATTTGTAGTAATCCCGCTGTTGCAGCCACCTCAGCACTGGGATTACAGGCCCGCGCCAGTGTACCAGGTTTCGGCGGCAGCTCAGTGCTCCTGGGGGCAGGGCCAGCGCGGCATGTGGTGCTCGGTTTTGAACTTGGGTCCTTCAGCTTGCCAGGCAGGTGCTTAGGCCGCCGAGCTATCTCCCCAGTCCCCCAACCAATATATAACTTATATTACAATTTATTTTTACAAATTAGGTTGATTATACCAACAAACATATTAGTATATACACCATAGGTTTTTTTAAATAAAAATAAAAGCATAAGAAAGATCTGGTAAAAAATAAAGCTGAGATTGTTTCCATTTACTTTTCACGAGTGTCTCAAACTAAATTACAAAAGAGCAGTGAATTAGACACTGAGTTCTAAAGGCTTATGAGTCGGACAAACATGAACCAACATCATAAAATCAGATTTATCAATTTTTATTAATAATTCAGACTAATATAAAACAAACCGATATTTAGCTATTGTTTAGTGACATTCATATAATCATTAAAAGGTGTCTGTCATTTAGAAAAATGATTCAAGTAATAGAAATTCATAATAGGTCCATGTGTAACGGCATTTGCCTCCTCCTCCCTAAATAATTTGGAAATAAAAGTTGATCAAAGAGCATGTTAGTATGATGTGCCACTATTTTTATCGTATACTCTTTTCTTTTTCAGATTAGTGGGGCCCAAGAATCATATGTTCTACTGTTTTTTCAAATATCCTCAGCTTCTTTCTCTCCCCACAGAAAGCACAGTAGAAAACGAGTGGATGCTGGCATGACCCTTTTGAAGCTCTCATCTCTGTGAGTGGGTCACCTGGTGTTATGATTTTTTTTTAACTAAACTTCTACCCATGTTTAGCTTGTAACACATGAAGGATCTGCCTTGGACAACAGTTGTTATTTTATGATGCTGACTTTCATTCAAAGATGATGTTCCTTTCGTGTTCATCCAAAACTCACTAGTTCTTTGGAAAACCAAAGCCCTGTGACATGACAGCCTCACTCCCGCCTTGCCAGGAGATTGCTGAGCTTGTTCAATCCTGAACTTTTGCTGGGCTTCAATCCTTCTTTATACAGTGAGACTATTTCTCTACATTGTGTTCAAGACTTTTTCAAAATTCTGACTTTTTTAATTTTTAAAAATTGTGCCTTCTCTAATAATTTTTAGTGTTCTACATGTGTAGCTATACCTAGCCCCAGTACATTTTAACCAGAAAGTCTGGTTATATACAAGAATAAAGATTTATGTAGGGTTGTGGATATAGCTCAGTGGCATAGGTGCTTGATTGGCAAGCACAAGGTCCCAAGTTTGATTCCTGATACCATAAGCTGTGCTGGCCCAGAAACAAGGTGTGGTGGCACACACCTGTAACCCCAGCACTGGTAAGACTGACACAGGAGGATCACTACAATTCCACATAGCAAAACCCTGACCAATAAAGAACAAACAAAAAGAGTTCTGTACATTTTAATAAACTAGCATTTTGAAATTTCCATACTATATACTACATTAAAGTGGCATTTCAAATGGTGACTTGCCACCTAGTATTATGTCATTTTCTTTTTAAAAGATCATTTGTTCATTGTATAAAAATATAGATCAGGGGGCTGGGGAGATAGCTCAGTAGAATAAGTGCTTGCCTGGCAAGTTCAAGGTCATGAGTTCAATCCCCAGTGCCGCCAAAAAAAAAATATATATATATATAGATATAGATATAAATATAGATATAGATATAGATATAGATGAGGAAAGCATGCCTTAGCGAGAAAAATAGTTAAATAGATGAATACTGTTGTTTGAAATTATCATATGAATTTAGAAAAAAAGGCAAAGTTAATTCTGATACTTAGAACAATAGTGAAATGATTTTAATGATTTGAATCAGAAGAACTATATTACATTTGGTTTAGTTTTGAAATTAAAGAAAGTGTGCCAAAGAATAAAATTGAATATGTATAAGGTGACAGACCGTGGTAAATGAGTAGTTTCAGATGGGATGAATAACCTACAATTTTGGCACAGTTTGGGAATATTTTGTATTAAGTATCTACAGAACACAGTATTAAATTATGCTGTCTCATCAGTAAATAGCGTACTTTTTTATATTGCATACCAGGATTTTCTCTTAACAATTAAAACTTCCTTTAATTAAAATTTAATATTTTTAACTAAATGCTTTGCCACATTATTCCCATTATGAGTAGTACTGAAATAACTTGTACAAAGACTTCAATCATCTTTTGAAAAAGGCATTGCGTCATTTGCATATTCCCTTTCTTCTGTGGGACATTGTACTGGCTTCTCTCTGGTTAGGGATTTACCTTGAATACTCCAATTAAAATAGCATGCAATAAATATTTACCACAAAAATGCAAAGGAATTAGAGTGGTGTTTCTTTGTGCTTTATAGATTTAAATTCAAACCGATTTGTGTTTCTGCCTCCTAACAAAGTCATACTGCATGCCAATAGAACATTGATAATGGGTGGCTGCGATTTGCACTACTCACTAGCGTTCATATTGTACACATTCATAATGTCTGTCTAAAGCTCCACATATTGCTTAGAATCCTACACAGAACTGTCAAATATAATTTATGTTTTGAGCGGTACTTTCCAGATTTGATCACTTTGAATTGGTTGCAGTTGAGAGCTTGACATTTTGGAAGCCAAAGGAACCAGTTAGGTAGTGCAAACAGCCAAATGCTCGTTTTTCTTTGTTGGGTTAAATTAATCAGCAACTCAACTTTACGGGATTAGCCATTGAGTTATTAGTTATAAAAGAATCCTCGCATTTATATTTTTCTTTCCCTCATTGTGTATCTTTATTTCCATTTACCCATTCTTGAGCTGTATTATCTAAATTTAAGATCTCCAAAATGAATATGCTGCCTATTCTGCAGAATTTCTTCCTTAATTGATCTGGGATGTCTTCCAGGCATCTTTAGAATTCTGCACTTTCATCTTTGTGAGAATGGCTTGCATCCAGTTACTTTCACATTCTGAGTTCTTACTTACCTTGCAT